CCAGCACTTGCAGCTCACCTCTGCCGCGTGTTCACAGCGCTATGAACCCCCAATGATCCACTTGGGTTTGGAACGACTGACAAAAAATAACTGAGAATACTACAATCTAACGCGTACAAAGTTTGAGAATTGAGAAGTTGAGTGCAAGTTAGAATAAGAGGCACTTACAGGGACCCACCCACCCTTCCCACAAGCATACACTTAAAATTAACGCACGCATAAAATTAACTTAAGACTAATGCACGCATCCCTCGATGTCCATTGAAGATGCCACAATGTCCATCGATGTCTTCAATCTTCACGTATACGCAATTCATACACGCACTCACTCATACTACAATATTTTATAATAGACGAAACTTAAAATTAATTAAAAATTAGCGCATTCATTTTTCTGTGATAATACTGCATCATCTATGCTGTAACAGAGAGAAATAATATGTGAAAGGATTAATAAATGCAAGATTATAATTTTGTAATGAAAGATATACAAATGCAAGACTAGCAACATTATAATGTTTAGGCATGCACAATTCATGCTAACATGCAAATACATATTAAAATTTTTGCAAAAAAAGATAAATAAAACTCGAATCGCTTCGATAAAAATATGCAAATAAATGTACGATATACCTGAGAAATATTCAATTACTTGATTAAAATAAAATCCTGAAACGACTCAATGAAATTAGGACAAACATGAAGTATTAAAATAAGAATCTGAAACATCTGAAAGAAATTAATATGTCAATTATTAAAATAAGAACCTGAAACATCCGAATGAAATTAAGACAAACATGAATCATTAAAATAAGAACCTGAAACATCTGAACGAAATTAAGACAACTTTTAATAAATTATTAAAATAAAAACCTGAAACATAGAAATACAAATAATACACATATGAATAAACAAATTACTTACATAAAATAAAAATCTGAAACAGAAAAATGTAATTAGACACATATGAAACATAAAATAACTTACTTGAAATTAAAACCTGAAACATATGAAAAGTAATTAAGACAAATATAAAACATTAAAAATTACTTACAAAAAATTAAAACCTGAAACTGACAAAAAGTAATTAAGACAAATATGTAACGTTGAAAATTACTTATATAAAATTAAAACCTGAAACATACAAAAATTATTAAGACAAATATGAAACATTAAAAATTACTTACTTAAAATAAAAACCTGAAACATACAAACATAAAATTAAGACACATATGAAACATTACTTACTTAAAATAAAAATCTGAAACAGACAAATCTTATTAGAGAAACATAAATTATTGAATTACTTACTTGAAATAAAAGCCTGAAACATACAAAAATAATTAAGACACATATGAAAGATTAAAAACTACTTACATAAAATAAAAACCTGTAACATACAAAAATAATTGAGACACATATGAACCATTAAAAATTACTTACTTGAAATAAAAGCCTGGAACATACAAAAATAATTAAGACAAATTATCATTAAGACTTACTTACATAAAATAAAAACTTGTAATATACAAAAATAATTGAGACGCATATGAACCATTAAAAATTACTTACATAAAATAAAAACCTATAACATAGAAAACTAATTAAGTCAAATATGAAACATTAAAAATTACTTACATAAAATTAAAACCTGAAGAAGACAAAAATTATTAAGACACATAAATCATTAAAAATTACTTACATGAAATTGAAACCTGAAACATACAAAAATTATTAAGACAAATATAAAACATTAAAAATTACTTACTTAAAATAAAAACCTGTAACATACAAAAATGATTAAGACACATATAAAACATTAAAAATTACTTACTTGAAATTAAAAGCTGAAACATACAAAAATTATTAAGACAAATATGAAACATTACAAATTACTTACTTAAAATAAAAACCTGTAACATACAAAAATTATTAAGACAAATATAAAACATTAAAAATTACTTACTTGAAATTAAAAGCTGTAACATACAAAAATGATTAAGACACATATGAGTAATTAAAAATTACTTACATAAAATTAAAACCTGAAACATACAAGAATAATTAAGGCAAATATGAAACATTAAAAATTACTTACATAAAATGAAAACCTGAAATATACAAAAGTAATTAAGACGAACATTTGAAAGACAAGGAACGAAATGAGTTTGAAAACCTGAATATCCCTAATAAAATTACAAAGAAATTCGAGAACCTCAAAACTGAGAATAAAATCAAGATGAGGTTTAAAAACCTCAAACCCAAAATAAAATCTTGGAGATGTAAAGAACCTCAAAACCAGATTAAAGTTACGAGATCCAAAAGCTCTGAAACTTGAAAGAGTATTCACAGAAAAATTAAAGTACAACGCGCATTAAAAACCAATCAAATAATAAAATGGAAAAAAATAAAATAGCGAAGAGACTTGGAAATTTCGAACCTAAAAATAAAATCATTTAGAGTTCTTAAAATTAACCCTACAAAGTGAATGTGAGTACAGGATACAGGACGCTAAAAAATAATACTTATTCTAAAAACCCTACATGTGCCTTTTATTCTAAACTTGCACTCGAATAATTTAAAACTTTGTAAAAAAAAGCAAGAGGATAGGGAAGAAAGTTTGAAGAACTTTCTTTTAAAATTATAGCAATTGATTAAAAAATGGCAGGCTATTACTACAGTCTACTATGAGAGAAGTTAAAAAGTTTTCTCAAATATGAGTGCAAGTTAGAATAAAAGGCACAATTTGCGTAAGTTTTTCGTCACGATTTGTGACGAAAAACTTACGCCCGAGCCCACCCTTCCTCCCACAGCTCGGAATTGTCTTAAAACTAATGCACTGAACATAACTTACCAAGAATTAAATTCTGAAACAGACAAAAATTTATTAACATAGAAATTTGAGAAGAGAGAACAATATAAGAACTTACCAAAAATTAAATTCTGCAACAAACAAAAATTTATTACCATAGAAATTTGAGAAGAGAGAATATAAGAACTTACCAAGAATTAAATTCTGAAACAAACAAAAAATTATTAACACAGAAAATTGTGGGAGGAGGAGCAAAATTTTTCTTTATTTTATACAAGAATTTCAAAAAATACAAAACGCAATGAAAATTGCGGATTTGAGAAGACAACAGAATTTACCAAAGAAGAAATACTAAAACAGACAAAAATTTATTAACACTGAAATTGGAGAAGGGAGAACGTGATAACTTACCAAGAATTAAATTCTGAAACTACCAAAAATAATTAAGACAAATATAAAAAATTCAATTACTTACTTAGAATAAAAATCTGGAACAGACAAAAGTAATTAAGAAACATATGAAGAATTCACTTACTTGTTTAAAATAAAAATCTGAAATAGACAAAAATAATTAAGACATATATGAACAATCACTTACTTACTCGAAATAAAATCCTGAAACAAACTAAAATTTATTAACACAGAAAATTGTGGCAGGAGGAGCAAAATTTTTCTTTATTTCATACAAGAATTTCAAAAAATACAAAACGCAATGAAAATTGCGGATTTGAGAGGACAACAGAATTTACCAAAAGAAATACTAAAACAGACAAAAATTTATTAACACTGAAATTTGAGAAGAGAGAACATGTTAACTTACCAAAAAATAAAAACTGAAACATAAAAAATTTTATTAACAAATAAAATTGTAGAAGAAGAAATGAAACAACCCTATCGAGAAACAAAAAACACAATGAAAAATACGAATTTAAAATCAATCAACAATAAAACAATTTATTAAAAATCAATTCCTGAAACAGAAAAAAATAATTAAGACATAAAATTCGGGGAAATTAAAATCGCCAAGGGATATAAATATCTCGAAGCTCGAGATAAAATCGCGAAGGGATATAAATATCTCGAAGCTCGAGATAAAATCGCGAAGGGATATAAATATCTCGAAGTTCGAAATTTAATCGCGAAGGGATAGACAAATTTTTAATTTCGTAATTTAATCGCGAAGGGATACAAAAATTTTTAATTTCGTAATTTAATCGGGAAGGGATACAAAAATTTTTAATTTCGTAATTTAATCGTGAAGGGATGCAAAAATTTCTAATTTTGTACTGTAATCGCGAAGGGATGCAAAAATTTCTAATTTCGTACTGTAATCGCGAAGGGATGTAAAAATTTCTAATTTCGTACTGTAATCGCGAAGGGATGCAAAAATCTCTAATTTCGTAATGTAATCGCGAAGGGATGCAAAAATCTCTAATCTCGAAATGTACTCGCGAAGGGATATGACCTGAGCTAATAAATATAATAGAGAGTTTGTACGAATTTTGCACGATCGTACAGTCGTGGTCACTATGCTCGCTCAAAAATATAAAATACAACCAGTTCCCGTGTCGCTTCGGACCATTCGTCCTACGACATGATGGGAACCGGAGGAATCGTAAAGCATGCGACTCACCGATCGCTGACTTGCGCCACTGCGATCGTTTTACCGGCAAAGCATCAGATTCGTGCTGCTTCGGACTGCTTTGGATTGGTTTGGACTGCTTTGGACTGGTTTGGCAACGTTTGGATTTGGCAGGTTGACCATTGGATTGGAAGTTTGACCATTGGATTGGCAGAGTGACCATTGGATTGGCAGAGTGACCTTCTGTAATCATAGCAGGACAACAATTTAGTAACTGTCTATCAATTTGCATTTCGATTAGTTTTTAACTAATTTAACTAATTTAACAAAAGCATGCATGCAGAACTACATACAACTACATTACAAAAACTTGTAATAAATTTGCAAACGTGTATCAAAACGTATAGTCACTCAGTAAAACATTATAAAATGTTCGAAAAAGTATGTCAATGCACTTGAATAATTATTGTATGCCACATGTTAAAACGTTTGCAAATTTATACTAAAATAAATGAATAACTACATTGGAAAACACATTAAAACACCAGTACAAGTATGCCAAAACATTTAAATAATCATTCCATAATTCACATTAAAACACTAATAACAATTTGTTAAAATATTTAAATAACCACTCCAGAAAATATACTACAGCACCAGTAACAATATGTCAAAACACTTAAATAATTATTCCATAAAATACACTAAAGCACCAGTTACAGTATGTCAAATCATTTAAATAATCATTGCATAAAGTACACTAAAGCACCAGTTACAGTATGTCAAATCATTTAAATAATCATTGCATAAAGTACACTAAAGCACCAGTTACAGTATGTCAAATCATTTAAATAATCATTGCATAAAGTACACTAAAGCACCAGTTACAGTATGTCAAATCATTTAAATAATCATTGCATAAAGTACACTAAAGCACCAGTTACAGTATGTCAAATCATTTAAATAATCATTGCATAAAGTACACTAAAGCACCAGTTACAGTATGTCAAATCATTTAAATAATCATTGCATAAAGTACACTAAAGCACCAGTTACAGTATGTCAAATCATTTAAATAATCATTGCATAAAGTACACTAAAGCACCAGTTACAGTATGTCAAATCATTTAAATAATCATTGCATAAAATACACTAATGCACCAGTAACACCATGCCAAATCATTTAAATAATTATTGTATAAAATACACTAAAGCACTAGTAACACCATGTCAAATCATTTAAATAATTATTGTATAAAATACACTAAAGCACCAGTAACAGTATGTCAAATAATTCAAATAATCATTGCATAAAGTACACTAATGCACCAGTAACACCATGTCAAATCATCCAAATAATCATTGCATAAAATACACTAAAGCACCAGTAACACCATGTCAAATCGTTTAAATAATCATTGCATAAAATACACTAAAGCACCAGTAACACTATGCCAATACACTTAAATAACCATTACATAAAGTGCACTAATACCCAGTAACAATTTGTAAAAGCACTTAAATAATCACTCCACAAAATACATTAAATCACTAAAAAATTAATAAAATATTTAAATAACCACACCATAAAACACACTAATAAATTCGTATATACATGCGCAATCACTTGAGGAAATACAGTAGTAAAGTCATTGACACTTGTAGAACCACACCATAAATTTTGTTAATACACCCCCATAATTAATAAAAAATATTTAATAAAGCATATTAAACACTAGTAGTAGCACTGTAGGTACACTAATATATCCGTATATGCATGCAGGTAACACACTGTTAAAGTCACTGACACTTGTAGAATTACACCATAAATTTTATTAATACACCCGCATATTTATTAAAAAATATTTATTAAAACACACTAAACACTTGTTAAGCCACATTAGGTAATATTGGGACAAGCACAGTATCGAAAAAGTGAACCCTTGACTCGTACCGGTAAGTGTTGACAGGGCTGATCCGACCTCCTCGACTTCCACAATAAAACTGAGAGCGTTTGACCTCCCGCTACTGTGAGTGTTATTGGTAGTTAACAACAGCCAATTAGACATCGTATAATTCACCAATAGATCAAATTCGATCTTTTCATGTGTAAGAGTGATTGGTAGTGTACAGTGGCCAATTAGACATCATGTAATCCACCAATAGCGTGCAAGCACTCTGATTGGATGTTGTAAAATTATTTTAACATTAATTTTGTTATAATTTTATATTTTTTGATTGTTTATTAACAAATTTATTGTTGCAATTATTTAAATTTATTATTTTTCTTAATTTATTTTTGTATATATTTTGCAAAATGATTGTTAATTAATATTTTAAGATATGTTTTATTGTAATTAATAATTTTTTTAGTTATTCATTTATAAAATTGTTGTTGTAACTATTCGAGTTCATCGTTTTTATTAATTTATTCTAGCAAATATTTTGCAAAAGGATTGTTAATTAATATGTTACGATATGTTTAATTGTAATTAATAATTTTTTGAGTTATTCATTTATAAAATTGTTGTTGTAACTATTCGAGTTCATCGTTTTTATTAATTTATTCTAGCAGATATTTTGCAAAATTATTGTCAATTAATATATTACGATATATTTTATTGCAATTCATTATTATATAAATTAATTATTGTAATTCATTATTTTCATAACTTTCTCGTGCGAATATGTTGTAAATTTTGTATGTTCTTAAAAATTCAAATTCGCGCGCGGTTTTTTAAAGAGTGACGTCATCGGCAAAAAACAGAGCAGCGCCATCTCTCCGGCGAACAGGATGAACTACAGGGTTTTGAAACAGCAGTTTCATTAGTTGTCCACACTGCCACTAGACGGCGCTGCGTGTATCGTTTTCCGTTAAATTTAAATAATATAATTTTTTTATTAGTATAATTGATTATAATATGACTTCAATTACGTCAAAGTGCAAGACCAATTAATTGAAAATTGTTTTGACTTTACTAAATTATTATGAATTTTTTACCACCCTTAGATAACTCTAATTAGCCTAAGGGTTCTTTCTTATGTGGCGCCGCCTAGCGGTGGAATATAGGAACTAATTAAAGACCCGTTTCAAAAGTGTGTAGTTCAGCCCGTTTGCCGGAGAGATGGCGCCACTAGTTAAATTTTTTTTTAAATTCAATTAAAATCGATTTTATTAATTAACTAAGCATTTTGCTGTGCATAAAATGCTATTTTTTGTTCCATTGAAATTATAGAATAGTTTATTTGTCTCGGAAAGCGTAAAAGTCACTGATTTTAGAAAAAATGTAGTTTTCTGACCGACTACTATTGTTCACCATTAGATGACGTCGATGGTACTGTTTTCAAATGAGCATTAAAAATAATAATGGTACAATACGTTCATCCACAAGTTGTGTCATAATTGTTCAAAACCGTACATGACACACCTGGTGCGTCAGCCTACAATATATCCATGACACACCAGGTACGTCAGCCTTCAATATATTCAGTGTGTTAGTATATGACACACTATGTGCGTCAGCCTAAAATATATCCAGTGCGTTAATCCATGACATACCAGGTGCGTCAATCTATAACATATCCAGTGCGTCAGTCTATGACACACCATGCGCGTCATACAATGTTTGCAACAACATGTGACGCACCGGGTACGTCAACCTACAACATATCCAATGCGTCATATAATGTTTGCAGTAATATATGACGCACTAATTGCGTCAGTATCTGTACAAAGTAATTGACGCATCAGATGTGTCATTTCAAATCTGCTCACAGTAGTCAAGAACGCAACCGGTGCGTCACTGTTAAAATAATCAACGACGTAGCCGGTGTGTCGGCACCAAATTAAAAACTTGCATTAAATTGTCCCAAAATTACTTACCATTTACCCTAAATAAGAGGAATAAAAATCATAGACTTAGATAAGAAAATAATGAATCATTAGATCGGTCGTAAACCGCGGAAGTGTTACCGGACAAAGGCCACCGTAATGAAAGGGTTAAGTATAGTAAAACGCGCAAGGTAAGTTCGTTCATTCTCGAAAAATTTCTCGAGACACATATTCAAAACCGGTTTGACGATTTACGTTGTGGAATATCGGTAAAACGATACCGCGTACTTCATCGCCGAGTTATTCGTCGATTTAAATACACCGTTCGGCAATAATGTCGCAATGTGTATCGCTTCATAAATCTTAGCTCAGCGATTTACATCAGTGACCAATAAATCGAGATTGATCGTTCGCGTGGTAAAACGATTGATACAAAGGAGATTCGCGCTAATCCGGTGCGGAAATTTTTCGAGGTTATCGGGTAAGGGATGGAAAGGTATGTGTGCAATGCACGCGTAAAAGCGAGCGTCAGGGAACTGTTAGAACGATGGAAAGAGAGGAAACGAGAAAAATACGTCGATAAAACTGAGGTGAACGCGGCATGGCACGGTGAACGTACGGTACGTCGTCGTACCCCCGTTTTGGAGACAAGTAGTTAGTCCCTCTCTCTTTACAACGGCTCAGGGACGGCTCGAGACGACTGTCTTTCAATGACTTCTTAACCGGCTACGCTGGGTGCTTACTAATTATTTACTGGCGGGCATAACGGATCTCTTAAAAAATTCATTTCTTCTGTGTCCCGTTCAACCTGTTGCAATACTTCATTGTTACCCTCCCGAAAATATTCTTGGTTAGATTAACATATTGGTTAAGTTGTCACATATTTCCAAATTCTCCATTCCTGCAATTTTACATATTTTTAATACTCGAGACATTTATTATAAAATTAAAAAATATAATCTATAGAATTATGGTATTGAGTTGATACTGATAGACATTAATTATAGAGATGGATGTTTAATGTATGTTGTAAGATTATTAATTTTTTATTTACAATTGTCATTCAGCGTAATTGATCATATAGTTAGGTGTAAAAATTGCGACATCGATCATTAATGTATCTAACAGAGTCTAACCTCACTATAATTCAATATGAAACTGATATCAAAATTAATCTTTGGTTATTATAATTGTATGTATTTAAAGAATTATTACTACTATTTTATAATATTTATGTAATTATATAAATTGTTACTATTTTATAATTATAACTATTTATACAATAATACTATAATTGTACCTGACGTAATATATTTTATAACAATAATTAATTATTGTATTGTAACATTGTACAATGACAAGTAAATGAGACCTAACCTATCCTGTAGTAAATTAAATATTTCCTGAGTGTCTCCACAATACTTCCTTTGTATCCTTTCACTTTTTACAACACTCTAATGTCACAAAAAATGTATAAAATCTAAATAAATGAGAAATTGCAAGATTACAAAATTCGCCGAAAGGAAGTCAGAATTAGCTATAATAATTTTTTGCCTGTTTCGTAATAATAGGTTTGGAAAGATCATTGGATGACAGTGAATGCCCCCATGCACTTCACCTTGATATTTGATAGTTTCTTCTTAAGTTTCACCTTGAGTCGCGATACGACGTTTCGGTATGTCATACTGCGCCTTTGCTATCCCCAGATTCACAGAGTAAAAGCTAAAACCGTATACATACCGACCTCAACAGCACTATGCAAGGCTAAAGTTTAGGTGTGGCCTCGTGTTAGATACTCATCTTTTCCGAAACAAGAATTCAATAATCTAAAGAATAATTAGCTCGATGACAATCCATACGTTTAGAATTAGTCACGCGATTTTTACGTGAACGGCAAGTATTTTTATCTAATCTGAAACAATTTCGAAAGTACTACTGTTCACTTTAGTTTAGCAAATATCGTAAATAATGATTAGAAACAACTGAACCTTTATAATTAAAGTAATTTTTGTAACGTCTTATTAAAAGAATAGTACTGAGTTGTTTAACATTACCTTATCATGTTTAAAATGACAATGTTTCACAAAAATGAATTATTGTTTCTGAAGGATTACTTGAGTTCCTTCCGGGTTATAAGACTTCTGGTTTTTACGGTTCTTTAACCTATATGTACTTGCCTTTTGAATATTTCAATTTTTCTTTTTATTTACCTCATACATTCTCCACATATGTATATCTTCATATAAGAATTAATTTTTATAAACAAAATAACCCTTGTATTCTCGCTGGATTTGGGGATTCAGGAATTTAGAAATTAGGAAATCTGGAAAATTAAAAGTGTCAGAATTTGTAGATTACAGGATTCAGAAATTTTGGAGTATAAAAATTTAGTATTTCTTTATTTGAAAATCTCAGTATTCACTGACAACACTCCACTACGTACAACAATGTATTAACACTAATTAACGTATTAACACTATATTAACAGTATCGTTAATTTTAGAATAATCGTAAGCGTCCTCCATAAACAAAGATCCGCGAGAGTCGATCGATGAAGAATCTAGTCGCCCTCTAGTTGTTACGCACCTGAGTGTAGTCTCACGGGCGAGGGCCTTTCAACTTGATCCGTGTATCCACTATACAGTCTCTCGTAAGGTGTGGTTCACGGCGTTTCTGGTCAGAACTATGCTCGTCCGGAATCAACAAGTGCTCCTCGAGACTACGACGGGAAAACACTTGACCTAACCAAACTTCTAGTGAACAGCTCTTTTTCTTATTCGCGAGGATTCGAAGGGGGCGCGCATAGGTGGCGAGAGACGCAAGATCAACGTGAGTCGATTATCTCGAAACGGCGTAACTTGAATATCCACACGTGAGATCGATCCGATCGAACGTAGTAAACGTATATAACTGTGCCGAATATTCGATAAAACGGCATTTATCGCTGATGGGATTGTGTCGCGTCCCAGTGATCGACGATTTGATGAATCATTGGTTTTTCTGCTCCAAGTTTATACGCTTGTGACGCGCGTGTTTCGTTTCGACAGCATTAACGGAGATCGTGTGTGTACATGTATCGCAGTTCCGACTACTACGTGACTTCATTTCATCGCGTGTTATTTACGCTGAGAAATAAATCGTGGAATTTATATTGATCCAGGACAACAATCGAGTATGAAGTACAGTGAGTACTGTTTTTAAATTGTTATTTTTAATCGTAAGATCGCGTGGTGACAATCACGTGTCGTTAGTACATTGACTTTAAAGCATTGATCTTTGAGATTGCTTGATATTCCTAGATATTCTTTGAATGAATTAAATGAAAGCTACAATGTATTATAGGATTAGGTTAAATGAATAAGTTGTAAATATTGCAGTGGGTGTACCGCCATGACAGGTTCAAATTTTGGCGGGAATTTGTTACAAACTTTTACAATAATATTATAATATTAAGCATTTTAAGTATTATTTAATAGAATATTAAGTAAAATTAATATTTATAACAGTCGTGGACATTCGAAGGTATCTAGGAATATATGATAATTATATATACAATATGTAGAAATATTGACATCTAGTGATACAGGTAAGCAGTGATCTATAAATTTTAAAGATATACATACTGATATAAAAATTTAGGTTATATGAAATTTAGACACGTAGAAAGTGAATGATATTAAGATCTAAAGAAATGGAAAATAATGATTTAAAAATCTAGAAATATATAAATATAAGAGCCGGTTTAATACGCCCACGCATGTTAACGTAATCGTTCGAATGAAATACAGGTTTAATTAAAAAAGGTTACCTAGACGACAGATTTGCAATTTATGCAATACACAGGTTAAAAACTTAAACGGTTGATGTAACATGTCCAAGATCAGTAGAACGTAACCGATTAAAGTGTGTTGGTGGTGTAAGATTATCGTAGTGAACGTAACTGTGCTTCATTCCATATTCTGTAACGCCTGCTTGAAAAACAAGTTTCCTGGTTGCACCTGTCACCGACCAAAACGTTTTTTATGCTCGTGCACGTGGCACAACGAGTCGTTTTGTTCCTGGAAACTGATTATATGCTAAATTGTAACGCGAAATCGATTATCGACGTGTACAACGTTCAAAGCGTAATTAAATGAAATCATCGTGGTAACAGTTTAGAAAGTGGCGGACAACGAACTTTCTTCGTCTTGCCGGTAATCGTTTCCAAATCGATTATCGACGAACGCTATGTCGGAGAGTATTAAAACGTATCTGTAGCTTGTTTTTAGAACGTTTAGAGATCGCGATTTTCTCTCGAAGATAGCGGTGCTTTATTGGCTGGGGTTTTATGCAAATCTGTAACAAAATTTGACGGTAAAATTCGGTTATCGATAATGGCTATGGCGGCAAGTTATTGTACTACATATTTAATTACCGCGGCGGGAAATTTAAATTAGCGTGATAGCAAAATTGATGAAATAAGTAAATCTGCAGATAATTGAATGTACGATGACTTTGTATTTACAATAACGTTTAATTACGGAAGAATTTATATCGCAACTTGTTTTTAACAATTTTAATGTTTTATTTTGATTGAATAACGAGTCAAAGGAGAAACTACTTTTTTAGTTATTTCATGATATTCTCAGTGATACCTTTTCTGGAATATTTGAAGCCATAGGTTAATGTTTGCAAGCTCGTCAGTAGATTCATTCTCGTTAGCTCTTCGGTTCGTTTATGTAACAAATTTAGTTTATGACGTGACGCGGTAGCGTAAGAATTTCGAAACAATGTGCACCGAGGAATTTCTAGGACAGAAATATAAATAGACGGGCAATAAAGTAATGAATGCACAAAATGATAAAATAACGTGATAAGGTTCACGCAGGAATCTAGATACAGCGTTCAGTAAAGAATTTATAGGGCAGCAGAGTAACGTTACTATAGTGACCCGTTCACCAAACACAAGGCATACTGTTCGATTCTATTGAAAACACCATTAAATATTTCACAGGCTGCTTATCTCTTGACACTGCTTCCTAATACTATGTCACGCAAAACACTCCAAGGTATTGATTTTGAATAAAAAAGTACATAAAAAAAACTTTTCCAAAAATAAATGTTACTTCATAAAATACGCAAAGCTTGAACTGACAATATTTGACAAATTTATATTATATTCTCATACTTAAATATGCAAAGTGATCTACATAAGGTATAAAAAGTTCGATTCAGAGAATCGTTGCGAAATTTCGGTGGAGCTTCTACCTATTGTCCGATCAAATTTATGACCATAATAAAGGTGATTAATAACTTCTTATGCAACACGAAAAGAAAGTGAATTTATATTATAAGCGGCTTTCGTTATCGTACAATTATAAATTTCACGTGCTTACGTAGAGAAATAAAAACTTGATATAGCTTATTGAATTTTTAATCCGCTTCTGGATAAATTCATGATGATGTATCAATTCTACGTTGTAAAGTATTATATTCTGTAAGATAGTATCTAATTATAAGTAACGAAGTCAGAACGAGATACGATAAATCTTTTTTTATTATCAATCATAGCGGATTACACAGAGAAAATAAAATCTGAAAGGAAGCCACGTCTGACACGACACGTGGTAACATTTTGATTCATAATTTAAAAAAAAAAACTAGACATAAATATCCCTTAAAATCACCATAGATTCTAAAATTCCTAGATTCCAAAAATTCGAAGATTCCAACAAACTCTAGATTCCAAAAAGTCACTAGATTCTAAAATCTCTAGATTCCAAAAACGCCTAGATTCCGAAAATTCTTAGATTCCAAAAACCTCTAGATTTTTAAAATCCTTAGACTCCAAAAATTTCCAAATTCCAAAAATTTCCAGATTCCAAAAACCCTCAGATCCCAAAAATCCCTAAATTCCAAAATTTCGAAGATTCCAACAAACTCTAGATTCCAAAAAGTCACTAGATTCTAAAATCTCTAGATTCCAAAAACGCCTAGATTCCGAAAATTCTTAGATTCCAAAAACCTCTAGATTTTTAAAATCCTTAGACTCCAAAAATTCCCAAATTCCGAAAATTCCCAGATTCCAAAAACCCTTAGATCCCCAAAATCCCTAGATTCCAAAATTCCCCAGATCCAAAAATCCCTAGATTCAAAAACCCCCAGATCCCAAAAATCCCTAAATTCAAAAAATCCCTATATTCTAAAAAGTCCCTAGATTTCTAAAATTCTTTAGATTTCGAGAACTCTTAAATGTCAAAAATGACTAAATCTCAGAAAATCCCTAGATCCCTATAAGTCTTAACAATCATAAAGATCCATAGACTAAAGCACAAATGTTCCTAGTAATCAAAGGCAATAATCTTTGCATGATTGTTCAGTGATAGTAAAAGTTTTGCACACGGTTTAATGAGCGTTGATTAAGTGTCTTTTATTTTTAACCGTCCGCATCTGGTGTTGTATGCATTTCATTGTTTGACAGTATTTAAAATTGGAAGACAGATAAACAGTGCATATAATGTTACATTATTTGCACAAGTGACGCGTAATGTGAGGCAGCTTGTCTGACTCATATACTGTTCCATCATGTTTAATTCATACGCGGACACACGATTGTACTGTGGAAACCATAGACAAAACCTGTATCTTCTTCGCGGCTTTATTTCTATTATAGCCAAGTGTCGATTATATTTTCAAACAAAAGTTACGCTTAATTTATTGCGCGCAATGAATTTTATCTTGTAATCACCTTATCGCGATAGCGAAACTTAAAGATATTCTTAATTTGCTTCATCGATTACGTTCTTTATCGAGATTAATAGATAACGCGAGATATAAATAAGTGGGTAAAAGGTTTTTATCTTTGATAAAAATTTCCTTTTTACAATTGCTAGATATTTAATTATAAGTATTTTTCTGATGTCGAAAAAAGCAGTACAGTAATTAAATATAATGTAAAAGAGTATTTGAAATACACCTGGTAAAAACAGTGAGTGTTTTTATTTAAAAAATGCGGCAAGTATTATGAGAGCAAGAAGAAAGCAATATTCGTTGATTCTAAATGGAGCCATTTAAGAAAGCATGGTTTTGTATGTACTATCTTTTGTAACGAGCGAACATAAATGTATTAATTGTAATTCGATTAAAAAACATGTTTTTGAAACATCATGAAAGTAGAAATTGGTAAAAAGGATCTACTTCGATGCTTTCACTTGGGAAAGTACCATTTCATTCTCGTTAGAAATTTTCTTTCGCGTCGTGCTGGATCAAACGAGAGCGCAGTTTGTCAGATTACTCGATTACGATGCAATTCTGTAGCTATCTCTGTATAGGTTTCCATCGTAAAGATTCGTAGATCGGTGCGTGAGCTGGTACCAACGGAACAAACCGCAGAGAGCCTTGTGCCCGTTTCTTCGAACAATACTGTAATGATACATGATAATAGCCGACGAAGCGTGATTGCCGTGCTTCTTAATTCTTCATCTGTCATTCAAACGCCGCTTTTTTTCTTTTTTAATGAATGGATTTTTATTCCCTGACTCCATTATCGTGAACACCGGTGAAAGAGCAAAGTCCTCGTTTTAGTCTATTGTAAACCGTGTACATTGTTATTTTGTGTGCTCCACCGTTAGTGTACACTCTTTCAAACATTTAATATCATGATTGAATATTTCTTAAACTACGGACTCAAGTAATTACTCGAAGTAATCAGAAGTTATTTATAGTTCTTTCAACACAGTGCCACATAAATTGAACTTTGTGCGAGCACGTTATTATCAAAATTAATTATTAATATTTTTAATAGTATTATCAAGATCGAGGTATTTAGCACCGTGACAAAATGTTTACTAAGTCGCGATATATTACCTACGGTAATTGGCGAATTATAATACATTGATTATCAGATTCGCTGGCATAACTAATTTAATTTAATCAAATAACGGAGGGGGGTAGATTCTTAACACCGTGGGAACTGTATTAATAACTCGAAACAAAGTGAATTAATTTAAAACGATATTAATATTTAATATTGTAAATGTTATCGTGTGCCGTACGTGTGGCTTTGTTGTACACAAGTGTTACTTAAGAATTCAGTCGAATTAATAAGATGAACGGTACACGAATAAAGATCGAGGTCTTTTAAAGTAATAGACTCAATTTAATTAATTTAACTATTACTTAATACTGTATGTAACAATAAATGTTATTTGTTCTATACATATACAAGAGATCCCTAGATCTTGACATCCGTCGATCAGTAGATTCCATCTTCAGGACATCAGATCCTAGATACTTATATTTACATATGTATTTCTAAATCTCTAGGTCTTTACATTCACATATCCTTGAATCTCTAATAATTCTAGATGCTTAGATTCTTGTATCCCTAGAATTTTAGAGATGTATTCGTCTATCTCTCTATAAAATTATCCCTATATTCTCAATTTCAAATTTCTAGTTATTATAGAATCTTTAAAACTCAATATTGCTAGATTTCTCCATAAACACTGATATCTCTAAAGTTCACTATCCCTAGATGCCTATGTCAGCAGATCCTGATGTAATTAGAATCCTATATCCCTAGACCCCCATTGTCTTTAAATCCCAGTATTCCTAGATCTCAATATCCTTAGATCCCAAATATCCCTAGATTCCAAATAACCCTAGATACCAAATATCTCTAGATTCTAAATATCCCTAGAACCCAAATATCCCCAAATCCCAAATTTTCCCAAATCCCAAATATTCCCAAATCCCAAATATTCCCTAATCCCAAATATTCCCAAATCCCAAATATTCCCAAATCCCAAATATTCCCAAATCCCAAATATTCCCAAATCCCAAATATTCCCAAATCCCAAATATTCCCAAATCCCAAATATTCCCAAATCCCAAATATTCCCAAATCCCAAATATTCCCAAATCCCAAATATTCCCAAATCCCAAATATTCCCAAATCCCAAATATTCCCAAATCCCAAATATTCCCAAATCCCAAATATTCCCAAATCCCAAATATTCCCAAATCCCAAATATTCCCAAATCCCAAATATTCCCAAATCCCAAATATTCCCAAATCCCAAATATTCCCAAATCCCAAATATTCCCCAATTCCAAATATCCCCAAATCCCAAATATCCCCAAATCCCAAATATTCCCAAATCCCAAATATCCCTAGAATCCTAAATATCCCTAGAATCCTAAATATTCCTAGAATCCCAAATATCCCTAGAATCCCAAATATCCCTAGAATCCTAAATATCCCTAGAATCACAAATATCCCTAGAATCCCAAATATCCCTAGAATCCTAAATATCCCTAGAATCCTAAATATCCCTAGAATCCCAAATATCCCTAGAATCCTAAATATCCCGAAAATCACAAATATCCCTAGAATCCTAAATATTCCTAGAATCCCAAGTATCCCTAGAATCCTAAATATCCCAAATATCCCTAGAATGTCAAATATCCCTAGACTCTCAAATATCCCTAGATCTCCAAATATCTCCAGATCCTGAAATATTCCTAGATTCCAATATTCCTAAATCCCAACATCGCTAAATCCCAACACCCATAAATTCCAATATCCCTAGATTCCTATACTAGCATATCCCAATATTCCTCCATGCTTGTAACCTAATTTCATCTTATCAACAAGAAGATGGTCTTCGCATTGAAAGCGGGATATAAAATATGACAGTTTTTTTACAAAGGCATCATGCGAACCGAGCGTTATGAGAAATGTAAAATCGTGAGTTACTCATGCAACCGATGTTTCGTAACAATGGCAGCCATTTTTCCGTCTCTCTCTCTGGCTCCTTCTCGACGGGGATGTATATGCGAATATTCTTTCATCGTAAACATTAGATGGAAACAATGCAAGGAGCCGTATTCACGGGCTTCATAACCGTTGATCGCAATGTCAAAGGGGGACTCCGACGGGGAAAAAGAATTATTTCATTGCACTGCGAACTGAAGTAGCTGACGAACAGCTAAAATGCAAAGCGTCGGAAAAACATGTACGAGCGATGCTTAATTAAAGTGATGGAGATTTTCAAAGCGACAATGTCCCTTTGCATTCCGACGGAATATTGAGTTAAGTAATTTTTACACGTAGTCTTAGAGATTTCTCTTTGGTTTCACCTCGTCGAGATTCGTTCGACGAGATATTTGCTTTTGCGTGTTGCAAATATGCTTTCGGAATCTAGGATTCGAAATGATTTATGATATACAGTTTTTTAATGAAAATATTCATTGCATATTTGTTTGTATGAAGATAGTACATATATGTTTAGGATTTCTCTTTCAATAGAATCTTCCTAAGATTTCTTTTGGATACTTCTAATTAAGATCTCTTTAAGTTCTTCATAAAATCTCTTAGGTCCATCCTAGAGCTCCTTTAGTACCTCTTAGATTTTTCCTAGAATCTTCGTAGAAGCTAAAATATTTTTAAATTGCCTGGAATGTATCAGTGATTGAACGTCCAAGGTAATTAAGTCTGAATACAAATTCTAAATAGATTGAATCATCAAAGATTCGACGCGGTCATCCATAAGTCACGGCAGAAGGCCTGATCCGTGTGAATCCGAAGAAAAAACACGATTTCCACGGAACAGAAGGATGTAACGTATATCGCAAAAAGTGTTTTCCTGTTGCTAGATTGTAACAGCGTGTACAATCAAAACCAATTAAACAGTGCCGATGCTATCAGCAAACACAATTGGCACGAAATTTCACGCAAACAGCGTTGTCCGAAGTAAACGCTCGATCGACGCGACTGCATGAATACACGATTGTTCGTGAGCGAATACAAAAATACGTGGTAAACCGTTAGCGTACGTTAAACTGTTTCTCTATTCAACAACGATTCAACTCGCGTGCAACGCGTGTTCACGTACAGTGAATGACTTACATAGTGGCTAAGTTGTGTGCAGCCCACGCATGAAAGACTCTGACTTTCACCCATCTAGCCGGACGACCTACGAGATTTCTTTGCTTGCACATATTTCCAAACGACGATAAAACGCCTCTTCTTATATTGCATAATCGATTCAATTATTCTGATCGTCTTGCCATTGAGAAACTGTTATTTACAAATTGCATGGTCTTTGATGTTAAACGCGTGCTTTGAAGATCAAGTCGTGCAACGATGCAATATTTCATGTATTATGTGACACAATGCATCGTGACATTATCGCTTGGTGATATATTGCATAGTAATTATAATACTTGGCGATTACAGTGGTAATTATAATTTATTTCAAAAGATGTCAGGTATTCTAATTATAATGAGCGGCGATATAATGCGAGGTTGTTATCATGTTTCACGATTCTAACACTCGGCTATATAACAGAAGGTCATTATTATTATTATTATTATAGTGCGGCTATTGTAGTGTTGCATGATTATAACGTACTATAACGAGCGGCGATATAGCGCGAGGATACGATAACGAGCGGCGATAAAGCGCGCGGATACCATAATAAGCGGCGATAAAGCACGAGGATACTCCAACGTACGACGATATAATACGTGACGATATAACATGGTAACAATATGAGATACGGCGATATAACGCGAGGTTATTGTAATGGGCAGTAATATAATGCGAGGGTAGTATAATACACTGCAATATAACACGAGGTTAATAAAACGCGACGATTGTATAACATGCGGCGATATAACGCGAGGTAACTGTAACGTTGCGATTATAACATGTGGCGATACATCGTGAAGTGATTTAGCACGCTGTAACTACAAAACATCGTCTTGTGATTATTGGCAATATAACTAGTGGTTGCGTCATGCATGGCAATATAACGCGAGGTTGTCCCATAGTAGTATAATGCATGATTGTGCTGATAGTAACGACACTATGGCAAGCAATAAAATCCGCATGAAAATGGCAATATATCAAGAGTCAACTCGGTATAAAAATATCAGATCCTACATATCAAAAATTATACCCCTTTAATTCTGTTATCAGAACTCAAAACTGTCAACGCATAAAATATCATTATACGCCCCGTGTCAATGCAAATTAAATTCACTTCAATTTATAAAATTATCGTAAATAATAATTTATGCAGTAACAGTTCGACAATGATATTAAAGTTATTGACATTAATAATGTTCAATACCCGAGGTCGAGCGCGGAAAAAGGAGCGACAAGAAATCGTGGTCAATTTAGAGCGGTGACTAATGCACACAGTTTCAGCGTTAAATTGTTCAATGAACATCGGGTGACGTATACGGAAAAGCAGCCGCGTAATTCGCGGAATGAAGTAGAAGCCGCGAATTCTTGAACCTTATAAAATATGGCTCGTTCCATTATACATGTAGATGTTCCTGGAATTGGAGCGATATCCTTGTAAGCGGTATCTTCTTCCACAATTATTCCACGGCAAAAGGGTAGATAAAAAGCGGATTGATTAAATACGCGTCCGCCTCGTATAAGGATAGACCGTCGGCGGGATTCTTTCTTGTAAACTAGCTTCGCGAGTTTGTCGCGACTAGAGAGCTCTTTGTTGACTCGTTCCTTCATAGTTTGTTCGGACATCTTATAGGGTCAGTTATAAACTCAAAAGTTTTTTTTGTTGATAGACAATCATGATCAGGTGATAATATATGTGGGTTGAGACTTGAAGTTAAATTGTATTGTAGATCGTAAAATTTTATCTGGTTTTTATACACTGGAAGGTTAAGTAGATGTAGAATGTAGTTAAGCTTAAGTATACAGGGTGTTCGGTTACTGGTGGATATAATTTTAGGGGGTGGTAGCTGACGTGATTCTGAACAAGTTTTTCTTTTACAAAAATTCGCTCTGAAACTTCGTTTTTGAATTATTAGGAAAAAACACAAAACCAATCAGAGCCCGAGGACTATGCGCGCGCAGTCACTAGGCGGAGTTGTCTCGCGTCTGCGCACACGTCTCGCGCTCTGATTGGTCCGGCTTTATTCTTTAATAACTCAAAAACGAAGCTTCCTATCCCATTTCTGCAAAGAGAAATCTTATTCAGAATCGCGTCAGCTACCATTTCATGAACCTACTAATTATGAAACACCCCATGTACACAAGTTCTCGCAACAAAATGAATTAACTTGTTGCAGAGATGAAGGGGACGTTAATAATTTTTGTAAGCGTTCTCTGCGCGAGGACGTTTGGTCTTCCCGGAGGAGCACCGCCCGGCTCCTGCGGTGACCTCACGCCCCATCACCCTGGGACCTCGAAACAGGACGCTCATCCGGCTCCTTATCAAGTTCTACCCGCTGCAGGACAAGGCAGAGTCCGTCTGATTTTAGGGAGTCCTGAGGGCCTCGCCTATGAGGGTTTCATGATAGTCGCACGTGACGCGGATACCGGTGAATTTGTCGGCGAGTTCGCGAACTTGCCCGATTCTGCGAGAACCATCGAATGCGCGCAAGGTATAAAGGTAAGGGCACATTATACTTCTCTAAGAGAATTATCTCGTCGTGTATCATGAGCCGGGAACGGTATCGGGAAATATTGCCGGCGTATAAACTCGTGAAAGTGCGTTACCGTTCTCGGGGAAGTATTTCTTTGTAGATTACGGGCGTAGGGTTTTATTAAACCGATCGGATAAATTTGTGAGCGTAATATGTGAAGGTAAATTATGGAAAGTTATGCCTTTGTAGATTTGTGTGCGAGAAGTCTCTCGAGAGAATACGCGTAAATTTATGCGAGCCTTATTAGCAGATGTAGAATACTTTCATTAATACTTTCTACTTTTACCGGTCAGCTCCCCATTCCTTTCAGGGTACTTCTTGTGAGGCGTACTGTATAATTACTGATATAATCGCTAGTATATGTATTACTAAATAATAATTGATAACGGAATTAAAAAATTGGCTCGTGAAAAAGCTCGAACGTTAAAATCACATAACCGCGAAATTCAATTATTTACTCAAGTGTTTCCTCGATTGGATGTTCTTAAACATTCCAAGTATATCACGTGATTCATAACACCATTCGTTTTCTGAAGGTTGTAAACAATGTAGCGATTCGTCCGTGTCGATTAAAATACATTATATACATTTTCTTTTGTTAAGAACGCGGTGACTCATACGAATACCAGCAAGAAACATAATCTTGAGTTCGACTGGGAGGCACCTGTGGATTATGAAGGCACCATTGTTTTCAAGTGAGTATTTTTCTTGGAAATATTATGTTCTTAATAATCTTTAGATGTAATTAATTGTTGAGAATAATTAGTCGGTGAAGGAAATTCTGTTGAAATTTTAATTTGGGATATGGCGATATAATGTGTGGCATTGTAACGAGTAAGAATTTGTCACGTAGTGATATAACGCGTTGAAACTTGGCACGTGAAATAATAATATGTGAAGGGTTGGGACGTGGCCATATAACGCCACGTTATATGGAAACTTGGAACATGGCGATATAACGCGCGGAACCTTGTTGGCGATATAACACACCGCAAAATATTTTCAAAAATGAAATTAATTACACATTGGCGTAACACGATTAATTTCAAATGAATTTTTTATTAATTAAATTCATGAAAAACAAGATAATTTGAGTTCGCTTTCTCCAGATTGCCCAATATTAATTAAACATCGCTTTTGTATTGTTGAATATGATTTCGAACGAATGATACCAATTACCGCTAGTCAAACGGTATTAAATTTGATTTCTAATAAATACGTCTAATTAGCGTCAACGAAATGTCCGTCGAATTTCATTCCTAATTAATAAGTCTAATTATCGGCAATGATTAAGAGCGAAAATAATTCTGTAACAGTGTTATCGCGAAGACCTTTCAGAATCAGCGGCTCGTGACGGTTAATGTGAATTATGAGCGGATTTAATGTGAAAGTACAGCAATGTTTGATTTTCGTGACTCGATTCACCTTGCTTCCGCATTCCAATAAGTTATTCCCTTTGCACGCCCAACAACCGTATCGTTATGCCGCATTTACTACAGCGCACTGTGTACCGCTGCATCAAAAGCAAAGAGAGCGCGTTTTTATTCAGACTACATCTGAAACCTTCGTAGAATCATTTACATTGTATGAATTTCCTCAACACCTAAGTACGTTGTATGGTTACGGGTACTTGAATGGACGTTTTAGTACTGTGGGTTGTAAAACCACGCATTATATTGCCATTCGTTGTATGACTAAGTTATATTGGTATGCGTTGTACAATTATATGTTACGTGACTTATGTGCTGTATGGTCACGCCATATGTTAAATTGCTGCGTGTAGAATTCCCTCGCGTTATATTGTCATATCTCGCATTGTCATTAATGGAATTCCCTCGCGTTATATTACCGCACATAAAATTTACATATATGAAATTTTCATGCGTTATATTGCCACGCGTTAAATTGCTATGCATAGAATTCCCACGCGTTATATTGCCACGCGTCAAATTGCTATGCATAGAATCCCCACGCGTTATATTGCCACGCGTCACATTACTATGCATAGAATCCCCACGCGTCAAATTACTACGCATAGAATTGC